ATATAAAATACTGAACATACACATATTGAATCAATCTTGTATTCCAAGTGTCTTTTTGTGTGGTTTATCCACTAGAGCCTGGCTGACGTTGTAGAGTTAGACCCTTAAAGAAGACTGACTCTTCTCTCCTAGCATCTGTCAGTTCCCAATATTTTCTCAGAAAGGTTGAGGTTTCTCTTCAACTTCTCCTCTTCTATGTTGATGTTTGTCTAACTTGAGCTTATGTGGAATGCTATTCTGTGAGTTCATAAGAATAACTAACAAGCAGTTTGGATAACTCTGTTTCTTGTGGTCATCCATAATTTATGGTTTGTAGAATCTTTCTGACCCCATTTCACAAATATCCCTGAGCCTTGGGAGAAAGACATTTGATATAGGAGTCTCTCAGGGATAAGCACAATACAGGTTCTTATTCTCTGCACACTGGACAGTTGTGTCTCTCTGGTTAGTCACCATTTGCTACATGGGGAAGCTTCTCTGGTAAGAGTGGAAAAATGCATTAGTCTATTGGCATAGCAATAAGTTGTTAGGAGCTGGTTTAATACTATGTCCATGAAGCAAAATGTTATTAGTAAGCTCTCTCCTGTGGCCAGTGACTGTCTAGTCACAGGTTCCTAGTTCTGATCACAGTATCAGATACAGACACCATCCTTTGAAGTGGATGGACCTCAAATCTGATCACAAAGTAGTTGGTCCCTCCCGTAAAATATGTGAAACCATTGCACGTATGGACATATTTTGCTAGGAAAGTTCACGCTGTAGCTCACAAGATACTCACATGGTCAAAGTTAGTGACCACCCCAGTATTTTTGGTAGATGTATAGCACCTGCCAGCACTATGAAGTGAGTTAGTAGAGATGGAAATTTAAAGTCAGTACTAGCTTGATTTATCCTAGTTTGTTCCACAATTCATATAGTCAGTGTCTTCAGCGGGCATTTATTTCCATGAAGTTCTTGTGGTAACGAAGAGCAGGGGTGATATCCAGTGCTGTTTGTGGGGTCATAGAAATCTTGGTCAACATTTTCAAAAGGGTAATTGAGTCTCAGCATTGAGCTTTGTCTTTGCATGCCTATTGTTTCTCATAGGGTCGTGTCCATCTGTTATAGAGTAATTCCTTTATAATCTCTTTTTATTACATATTTGTACATATTTAAGGATCTTCTGTAGTGAAAGTTTCCATATGAATTGTTCCTGAAGACTTTAATGTTAGTTATCCCTGTCCATACTCCCTCCTCTCGTACTCCATTTCTCACCTTCCCCCATATGTATCTTGAATACTATCTCCCTTCCCAGGAGGCCTCCCTAGACCATGGCCATTAGCTGGTTTACTGAACTCTGTGGATTTTCTAATCAAAACACACATATCCATTCACCATTTCACATGAAATGTGTTAAATATAATGCTCTATGAGCCTATACATTGAGACTTGGTCTCAGAATATACACCATTAAAATTAGTAAAAAGCTCCAATCTTTGCTAAATACGTATCACAATATGTATTGCAACCATAGACAATCCTTTAAATAATGTCTAAAGAATACCATTACTATATCAAACCCTAAAAAGACATCTCTCAGAAAATATTTTCTTACCAAGTTGTCTCTTCAGAGCTCCCTTAATCTCATTATTCTTCAGACTGTAGATGAGAGGGTTCAACATCGGGATCAAAACCATGTAGAACACAGACACCACCTTATTCTGGTCAGTGGAGTAACTGGACTTGGGCATCACATAAATGAATGTGGTAGTCCCATAGTACAAAGTGACTGCAGTGAGGTGGGAGGTGCAGGTGGAGAAGGCCTTCTGGCGACCCTCAGTGGAGGGCATCTTCAGGATGGTGATGAGGATGTAGGTGTAGGAGGTACCTATGACTAACAATGTGATCACAACTGTAGTCCCAGAATAAAATGTAGTAATAATTGTGGAGATCCTGACATCTGAACAGGAGAGTTCAACTAAAGGTGTCAAATCACAGAAAAACTGATTGATTCTGTTTGGTCCATGGAAGTTAAAAGAAAAGAAGAAAAAGGTACAGGAGGAATCACTAAGAAAACCACATGTGTAAGATCCTATAAGCAGTAGAACACAGACCTGTGTGGACATTTTGGTTGAATAAAGCAGTGGGCTACAGATTGCCACAAAGCGGTCATAAGCCATGACAGCCAGAAGGAAGCACTCAACTATCCCAAAGAAAGCAGCTGAGTCAAGCTGGATGACACACCCAAGGTAGGAGATGGTACTCCTCTCCACCAGAAAGTTGACAAGCATATTGGGTGTGACAGAAGATGAGATGCCTATGTCAGTAGAAGCCAAATGGCTCAGTGAAAAGTACATGGGGTAATTGAGTTGAGGAGAGATTCTGATTAGCAGGATTTTGCTGAGGTTTCCAAACATGGTCACCAGGATGCACAGGACAATGATGAAGAGGATGACTCGAAGGACTGGGTCATTTGTTAAGCCAAGTAAGATGAACTGTGTCACTGCTGTGTGGTTCCAATCCACCAGGAAATCCATGGGGCAGTGAAAACATTTCCTCAAAAAAGCTGGGATGAGTTTATGAATGAATTTATAAATATGTAGTTTCATTTTCATCAAAATATATGCTAACAAAAAAAAAGAAAAAAACATTGGGAAACAATTGAGATTTTCCTCCAAACTCTCTTTTTCCATATATTGGTTTACAATGAATATGACTTAAAATTTCATAACAGGAATGCTAGAAATTAGCTGCATAATATATGTATTTTCTTTACGAATATATGTGGTATTATATATATTACTGTCTTTAAACTATAAGTTTTAAAATATGAGACTCATGAAAGTAGCAAAGTACTTAAGAATTCAACAACATGTCAGAATAAATAAATATGGGGTTATATAGTGATGTGAACATTTGATAACTGTCAAGGAATGCTTACTAAATCCCTAGCTGGAGATTAAAAATTTATGCAAAGTGTTTTTGTCATTTCCATAGAATACACTTATTAGTTCCAATTTACACGTGAGAAATTTAATTTGAAATTTATATGTAAATTAAGTCTCCATAAAGGTGCTAGAACTAGACATGTATACAGGCATATTGACCAGAGTCTACTCTTAGTAAGTATGCCATGCATGAAACATTACAGTGAAGTTAAGGTCTCACGGAAATTGAGAGAAACATTAGAGCAGCTTTTCCGCTTCCTAAATAATTACTAATAATTACAAGAATTTCTTGAGCAATGACATTGGTTCTATAGTCTATCAGTTATATAAGTTCATGTCTGAATAAGATTATAAAGAAATAATTTTCTTTTTAGAAATGAGAAGAAACAGAAATAACCAAAAACAGCATCATAAGACAATTACTACTATAAGTATATTAAATATTTTAAATACTTCTAATTAAACCATTGCAATTTGAAATATCAAAATATTATCATATAGATGTGGGTTATGTTCAGAATGTTATTATAGTGTTTATTTATACCAAATACTTTCCTAACCTAAATATGTATTCTAAGAGAAGCATGATGAAATGAAATAGTTTGATTTTCAACAAGAGGACACTATGATAAATATTCAGCAAAAAGTTCAAGATGTTTGCTGAAGTTTGTGAAATTTTCCTGATAGATGGCGGATGGCCCCAACTGTTGAAATTTTGGCTGTATATTCTCATATCGTCCACAGTGTCCGAATGCTGTGATGATCAAATCTTCTGTCAATGAACAAAACAGGACTTTCCGCAATAAATGTTCTGACAAGAAGACATCTCCTCACTTCATGGTGGTGAATATGTTAGCATTTTCACCCTAGTGCTAAGTTTATATACTTTGAAGACATTTTGAGATTTTGTCTTGTTTGTGGACTAATTAAAAAACATTATTTGAAAACTTAGTTTTATTCTGGATTATTCAGAAGAATTTAACTATGGGAACAGTTGATTCTACAAGAATTCCTTTTTATCTCTTGCTGATTTCTACTGTCTTCCTAATCAATTATGGTTAATTCAAACAGATAAGATTTTCAAAAAAAATACAAATACAATTTCAGTGAATAAAGTATTTTCTTTTACCACAGACACCAAATCTTACCTCTTGAAATTAGAATTCATTACAGAGTGACATAGTCAAAGTTTTTATGATTTTATATCTACCGAGCTGTCTCCCATGTCACTGCTTTTCACTGAGAATCAGTCTCTCAAGAGGCTCTGGATTCAAATGTGAAATTAAATCATCAGAGATGATTAACTCATTCTCAGGTGAACACTGATCAGTTCTTTCCACACAATCACAACTGACTTTCAAAGTGGCTGCCAATCACATGGGAGATATTTTTCTTTTTCTACATGTTCTGAATCATTTTCACTTACTTATTATGGGAGGTATATGCTAAAAAATGTCACAAGTAACTAATTATTTGTTCCAAGTTTATCTGTTATTTGAAGTGAGAAGACACCAAATCAGGAATATAAAAGAAATACTTTGGATTCTTTTTCTCAATGATCCTTTATTTTATGAGTATTATGTACCGATTGGTGTAGGACACACAGTTAAGTACACTAAACAATTTGGGAGGGACGAGATGTAAAGTCGTTTTAAATAAAAGTTATTTAAGCTACATATTTTATAGGCAAGGATATAAATGAGGATATAATGGATGATATGAATGCGGTTGAACATGGAAGCAGAGGCTGGAGAATTGCCCAAAGGTCACCTATTACCTCTCCTAGCTTATAGCCCAGGAAACAGAAAGAGAGATTCTGTCTCAAAGAAGGTAGCAGGTGAGGACTGACACCTTTAATTGTCCCTCTCAACAACACATACATAGAGCAGCTCTTGTACAATTGTACTCACACAGATGTGCACACACATGTCACATAGATCCATACACATACAGTATAAATAATAAATAATCATGTTAGTAAATAAATAACTAAAAGACTAAAGAAATATCTTTTTGCAAAAGAAAGATTATTAAAGGTCCAGATACAGATCATAAGTGACCGAATTCCCCAGTGCTGCCTGACACATTTGCAATGCAACTATCTCTCTGGGAAAATTGCAAAACCGGGAGAGAAAATATTTTAAGAGACTTAAAATAAAATGCCTTAGGAACAAAATGACTGCTCTAGATAATTCATTATAGATATGATAGGGATGAGGTTTCACTGAAATCACTACAGCATAGTACTCTAACAAGATCTGATTATGACAAAGCAAGTTCACATGACAATGTGGATGGGGGAATTTTCACAGAGTCCCACATCTAGATAAAGACTTACGGTAAATTGATGCTGAGGGAGGGAGAATCAGTGTTCTACAGGAACAACTTTCCAATAGGTTGTACATTATACTATATAATATATATAGAGAGATAAATATGTATGTATATAGAACAAGAATAATCAAAGAAGAAATAAAACTGAGTGTGAATGGGGGCAGTGGTTGGAGTTGTTGAGGGGAGTGGGAGGGGCAATAAGATGCAAATAACATCCTCATGTACAGATTTTTCAAAAAATAGAAATATATGTCGGTAAATACTAATGAGTAAACGCTTCCTTAGGTAAGCTGTACTTAACTCTGCACAAATTATTCCCTTCTTTGTTGAGATGGCTTCATGTAAGTCAGGATGACTTTATATTTGCTATATAGCCAAAGATAACCTTGAATTTCTCCTTGTTCTGCCTATAGCTCCTGATCCCGTGGATTTCTGGTATCCCACACCACAACTGGTTGATGTGGGGCTGAGGACTGAACCCAGGACTTTATGCATGCTAGGAAAGTGCTCATCCCCAGACCTGCCATATATAATTTAACCCTTCCTATTCCATTATATCCCTTCCCACTTTATATCACTACATCCTATATACCTCATAATAACTCACCTTACCCCCTGATATGGCTGTTTACTAGTTTCCTGAACTCTAAGGATTCAAAACTAGCAATCCACTTATGACACAGAATATGCAATATTTGTCTTTCTGGGTCTGGGCTGCTTGACTCAGGATGGCTATTTCCATTTCTATCCATT